GTTTTTTGTCCATTTAATGATAACTTATTGTAATCAAACCACTTTTTTAACTCAGCTAGCTCTTTTTCTACTATTTGTATTAGTTCATCCATATTCTTTCCAGAAAGAAAAAAATTTGTATCATCAGCAAACATTATAAATTTCAAAATATTGGATACTGTAAAAATATCGTTCACATAAAGTATAAATAATTTAGGTCCTAGAACCGAGCCTTGAGGAAGACCACATTTTATAGTTTCAGTTTGTGACTTTGTATTGTTAATTTGTACATATTGTAATCTATTACTCAAGTAACTCTTTAACCACTGATGTGTAACCCCCCGTAAGCCATATTGTTCACATTTCCACAGTAGTCGTTCATGGTCAATAGTGTCAAACGCCTTACTTAAATCAATGAACACTCCCACTGTATTAAGTTTCCGATCAACTGCTGCAGCAACGTGTTCCACAAACTCCATCACAGCTAAAGTTGTGGAGTAGTTGTTTCTGAAGCCGTACTGGTGTTCATTTAATATATTATTTTTATTAAGAAAGGAGTCCAGCCTTTTTATGAATATTTTTTCCAGGATTTTAGAAAACTGTGGTAGCAATGAAATAGGTCTATAATTTGTTACATTTTGCTTATTACCATTTTTGTGGACTGGAAACACCTTGGCTACTTTCATTTTATCAGGAAATTCTCCAGTTAAGAATGATCTATTACAGATATAGGTGATAGGTTTAATAATACTATAAATGACTTATTTCACAATAGCCATATCAATATAATTACAGTCTTTGGATTTCTTATTTTTTAATTTTTTAACTACTTCGATTACCTCACTTTCACTCACTCCTCCAAGAAACATTGTATTAATATTATTAAATGTATAATTGAGTTTTTCATCTCTAGCCTTTGGCAACTCATTTACTAAATTAGGACCAATATTAACAAACAGGGGTGGAGGCCTCCGTGTTCAATTGTCCCCCTCTTACAATGCTGTTATTGTTAGTATCACTCAGCCCTCTGTGAATAGCAAGCAGCCACCAGGGTTAGAGTTGCATTCAGGCCTAAAAAATCCAACCCAGCTCGGCCCAAACCCGACCAATTAACCGTGATTACAGGTCCGAACCCGGAAAGCTTTTTTTTAACCCAACATTTTTCAGTCAGGTCATCTGGACAGTTTCTTTTTTTTTGGCTGAAACGTTTCGCCTTCGATCCAGAAGGCTTCATCAGTCAAGGAAACACACAAGAAAACTGATTATTCTCCCAACAGCTTACTCCAAAGTGGAACAAACCAGTTCTGCTTGTGAAACTGTCCAGATGACCGGACTGAAAAATGTTGGATTGTATACCTGGATTATTGAGCATGGACTTTGTTGTTAACTTTTTTTAAATTAAGCTTTTACTGCTTTTGTAAGCACATCCATTTGACATGATGGTTTTAAAAACGTATTTCAGAGATAGGAAGGTATAAGATTTCTTGTTAACAAGAGTCAGTGGATTATTATAGTTATTATAATATTATAGTTATTATAATATTATAGTTATTAACAGTCGGCGTATATGCGCGGCTGATGATCCAAACTGGGTCGTCGATTGTGTGAATCCGCTGACGCAGCGGCCGAGTCCAGTTAAGCTTCAGGTGGGTCGCTGTCAGTCATCCATCTGGACTTTTTTTTTTTTAATCTCTTTCAACGGGCCGATCAGTGCAGTCACACGGACGAGCGCGGCTGGTGATCCTAATTGGATGGTTAGCTGCACTCGTCCACCGACACAATCAAAAGCCCGACACCGACCCGGCCTGACCATCCAGCACATTATTTTGGCTGGGCGTGGGCCCGGGTTAGAAATGACTGCTCTAACCAGGGTACTAACAATCAATTGTTGGGCTGATGGTCATATGAACAGCTAGTTTTGGCTGTCACCGGAAAACTGATTGATCCACTATGAGAAGGTGCTGTTTATAAGACTGTGTTTAGTGCAGCTCCTCAGACTGAAGAAGTCTTCTGGATAAAAGATGAAACATTTCAACATTTTTTTTTTTTTTATTTGTCCAGAGGACCTGACTTAACTTTGATAGATCAGATCATCAGACTTTCACCATGAGGTGTTTGTGCTGATAAGATGATTGTGCTTGGTTTTCTCCAACCATGGCACTGTGCATTATGGGTAAACATTTTTGCTTTAGTCTCACTTTCAGAAATTATGTTTCATTTAGGTGTAACTTTACAAATGGACGTCATGCTATGTTACTCTTTTTGAGGCATCACAAACTTTAACTGTTAAGCTTAAATGCCTTTAAAGTCTAAGACGGAGCTCATGGATTTTTTTGCAGATCCTCAGAGCATTGCAGGGTCTGACTACAACACAACTAAAACCTTTGTTTTTATAGTGGTGCTCACGTCAATCAGTGATCAGTAATCAATGCATCTGATTAGCAGCATTTGGCTGATTTTTTTTTCATTCAACCTTTGTTTAGACAGGTTAATCCCATTGATCCTCGAGGACTCATTAACAAGAGAGACCTGATTTTAACCTCTCAAGTCTTATAAATCAGAGAGTGGTGAACTTGGGTTTTACACACAGCTTCCACACTTCGACTTGTTTTGTTCTGCGCATGACGATAACTATTGATCAGATCCAAAAAAGTTCAATCTGGTCCTCTGGACATTCAAAAAAGCAAAAAACAAAACAAAGCAAAAAAAAAATAATCTAGAAACGTTTCGTCTCTCATCCAAGAGACTTCCTCAGTCTGAGGAGCTGTATTCAGCTCAGTCTCTTAAATAGCACCTTCTCAGGGTGGATCAACCAGTTTTGCTGCTGACAACCAAAACCAGCTGATCACATGCTCAAGAAGGACCATCAGCCTAACAATGGATCATTAGCACCTGATGGCTGTTTACTGTTCACAGAGGGCTGAGTGATACTAGCAATCACAGCATTGTAAGAGGGGGACAGTTGAACCCGGAGGCCTCCACCCCTGTTTAACGATGGACGATTTCTTTTCACAAAGATGGCCTCCTTTACTCCTCTCTCAAACCATCGTTCCTCTCTGTCCAGGATGTGAACATCTTCATCCCTGAAAGAGTGACCGCTGGCCTGGAGATGAGTGTAGACC